TTGGGCTTAGGCGATTCTCTTGCCTCAGCCTCCCAAGCAACTGGGACTACAGGCACTCACCACAATGCCCGGCTATTTTTTGTTGCAGTTTGGCCAGGGCTGGGCTTTAACCCCCCACCCTCAGTATATGGGGTTGGTACCCTACTCACTGAGCCACAGGCACTACCCTGAATGTGGTTTTTCTAATGGCCTAACATATGAGTATCTATCTTTTTGACAGGTATCTTTGGCACCAGATTAACAATATTAGACACTGAGAGATCATTCCAGTCAGTTTAGTGTGCCTTCCCATAAAGTTCTTTATTTCCTTTGCTCAACAAAAAAAACTTGGCAAAGCTTTTAAATATAGAAGGCCCATTTTAGTTGGGATCTAAAATGTTCCCAATTTTACTTTTCATTTTTGCCTTTTAAGGAGAGATCATTTTTCCGTAATTCTCTATGCTGGAGCAGGGTTTCTCCCACCAGCAGCCTCAGCTGAGATCTCAGAAATATAAATTATCAGTCCCTACCCCAGACCTACTGAATCAGAAACTCTGGGAGTGAGGCCCAGCAATCTCAATTAACAAGGTCCTTCTAAGGCATGCTAGCTTGAAAACTACAGGATAGAGAAAATCTGTCAACGATGTGATAAATTTCTCAGTAGCTCAGGATTTGACTCAGAGAAACCATGCTAATTAAAAAGATTTGCTGGGGCACCTGGGAGAAAACTCATGTGAATTTTAATTGCCTGGTGCTCCTAAAAATCAAAGTTTGCTTGTATGTCAGTATAATTTTGATGTGAATACAGCTTGCTCTTAGAACTAATGGATCAACACTGAAGTGCAAAAACAAAAAAAACTCAGCTTGCTCGCTGAGTTTAGAATTTTGAGACTGGCAGTGACTTCTTTCATTAGGCCCTGATATCATCACATTAGAGGGTGTGGGGCAGTGTGATTAATGCTTTCCAAGTGTTTAAGGTCTTTTGCAGCAGGCATGGCTACTTATGTCATATGATTTTAACGTTTTGACTGCAAAATAGTTTGGTGCAAATGATGCCTTTAGGCATTTAATACAAGATGTTCCTTTGATGCAAAGGGCACTTTTAGAGATTCAATACAAGATGTTCCCTTTGGCTGGAAGGACACATGTAGGCAGCACAGTTCATTTATGAGTGCTCTGCAAAGAATTAGTGAATAAATAATCTGAAATTCTAGTATGCTCACTACCTTATTGGATTTTGATTCATTAATATACTTATTCATTAATTTATCAAGCATATGATGAGTATCTACTCTTTGTGAGGCATGGGATGAATAAGATATGGCCCTATCAGGAAACATCCCTGAACAGAGCGCCTCCATGTGCTCACAAATAAGTTCTTTTCCAAATGCATCCAAGCTGCTGCTTACAGATCCATTGTAAACCTGGCCTCATGATCAAAGCTCAGATATTTTTAGCATTATTTAAAGCTTAAATCTTTTACCCCCCAGCCCCATTTTCCCCCTTTTGACATACCCTTTAGTTTACTACAGTGATGTTGCTGTTATATATAAAAATGTCTTTCAGAACCTCCAAAGGTTAAGGATTGGCATGAGCTTCCTATTCTGATTTATTTTAGGAGAAATTCTGAATAAGACTGACAAGTGGACTCTCTTAAAGGAATTAGTTATTAAACTATCAATTTTCCAATTTAAAAACTAGTGAAAATAAAATAAAACACTTTGAAAGATGATAATTGGGCTTGGCACCCATAGCATAGTGATTATGGCACCAGCTATATACACCGAAGTTGGCAGGTTCGAACCCGGTCCAGGCCAGCTAACCAATAATGGCGACTACAACAAAAAAATAGCTGGGCCTTGTGGCGAGCGCCTGTAGTCCCAGCTACTTGGGAGGCTGAGGCTCAAGAAAATCACTTGAGCCCAAGAGTTTAAGGTTGCTGTGAGCTATGATGCCACGGCACTCTACCAAGGGTGACATAGTTGAGACTCTGTCTCAAAAAGAAAAAAAAAAGACTTTAAAATTGTAAATTACAGATTTAGAAATTTTATTTTGTGGTTATTAAGTCTAAATACTATATGTTCACCCTGTAAAGGCAGACTCGTAAGTTTTCATGACCTCATGTCCTATCCAAAGTGGGTTGTTTTCCCCGTTTATATAAAACATTCTGTTTTTTTTAATCTCTGGAAATATGGTACTTACAGCATGAGGCCTTGGCTGTGAGATTTTCTCAGTCCCCTTTTGTCCCTAGAACCCTCATGGCACAGCAGGGAGTCTTCTGGCAGGAACCGCTCTGCCTTGCCTGTTCTTGCCACTAGCACACACCCTCAGCCAGGTCCCTTCCCACAGACCTGCTCTGCTAGTGCTCAGCAGCAGCCTCAGGTGTCACTGTCATGACTGGAGTGACAGTGTCTGTGCTTGCAATTGTATGCTTTAAATAATGCAAAAGATACTTGGGATCCTCAAATACCAGAAACTCAGTGTTTTTCATGAGATTTTCTTCCATGCCTGAAATTGTAATGTTTGCAAATGGCCTAAAACACTGCCAATTTTAAACTCTTCTTTTTTATAATTTGGTGAATACAATCAGTAATTCACAGCAAAAGATGGCTAAATCAGAAAACGATTCTTTGCATATGTAGGCATAGGGGTTATAATTGGCAAGGTGTATAGAAGGGGAAAAGTAAACATTTATATTGAATATTTTTAGGATTGAAGATGGTTATAAGTTCAACTTAGCCATTTCTTATCCCAAGCATTTAAAATAACTTGTTAATGATTATCCTTTTCTCAGTCTTCTTGCTTATGAAGAACTGTAAGAGCTGGAGAGATTTCTCTGCATCTTTTACCATAAGCAGCATAACATATGAGAACATAAAGAAGACTGGAAAAGTAATGGTTAATGGCATGCAGATCTGATCCTACTTTCCTGTCCTTCTGAGTTTTCCATCCATCTGCTTTCTTTATTTTTCTTTCCCATCTGCCATCTCCTTTGGGGCTTGGGTGAATCCCTTCAGTGATTAAGCGTGATTTCTTTCTCAATGTAGATGGAAAAACTGGTTTTTTTCCCTTGGTAATCGATGTAGCTTGAACTGGATATGCTTCTTGCACTTAAATTCTGCAGAAACAAAACTGAAGTGCTGCTGCTTCCTTTTTATAAGGCACGGTGTTCAGTATTCTGAATGGGGAAAGGGGTAAACCAGAGGGCATAGTAAGTAATGTAGGGGACCATTGGCTGTGTTATTGTATTGGAGAAACTAGGAACTCTTAAGATTTAGATATTCAGCAAAGTGGTTTTAGATATTGTTTTGAAGTCCCTTTGTTATTAGTAGTTGGTCAGTGCTACTTTCCCATCAGGCACAATTGTATTAAAAATTTGTTAATTTTTCTCTCTAAGACTTAGGATTCTTAAGTATTAAGTAGTAAAATTAGTAATTAGAGTATTATTGCAAGTTTTGGTTTAATTTTAATTCTGTTGGTTTTTATTCTCAGAGTCCCATATACAGTCTTTGGTATAGTCTAGCTACTAAGTGCTGTTTGCTGTTCTGTCGATTATCTGCTTTGGAGCACATGAGGCTTAGGAATTATTTAAACCAGGTCTTGTGAACCAAGCAGGCAAAGAGTGTTGTAAGCATCAGTCAGTTCCAGTGGGAGAAAATTAAAGAATAGATTGGAATGTGCATTTGGATCCTAAAAACAAGATACTTGCAGTTAGCTGATTTGATTTAAAGTA